TTGCAACATAACTTATCCTTGGTGATGCACTTCAAAACAGAGGCTGTATAAAGATGCAACAAACCTACCTGATGGTGATTTCCACTTGTTCCCTCAATAAATGCAAACAAGGTTTAAGAAGCTTGGATTACAACACAAGCTACATGAGAGAAGTAAGATAAACAGTCACTTGATTCATATGATCACGACTGCTTAAATGAGTCTGGGCTGTTTCAGTGCACCATCTGGTGGCCTGAACCAGAACCACAACCACAGTGCATGCAGGATTGGCCCCAGACCCTGCTGGAGCTCTCAACCTCCTGATGAGTGGCAGCCGGGAAACCTGGCGGATGAGCTAGCTTCCCTTCACTGACTGCCTCAGTAAATAGGTTTTCCTGGTAGCTGTAGTTCAGTTCCTTCATCTGCCCTGACCCTTGCTGTCTCATCTCAGCACTGCAGATCTTTGGGCAAGCTCCAGCGCATGCCAGCTCTTGGACCTTGCCTGATCCTTGCTGGATCTGGATCGGGCTGTGCCTTGCTACATTGCCTTCTTTGCCACATCTTTCTGATCCTGAATCCTCTCCAGGTATCCTGCCTCAGGTACCTGCTCCCCACTCTTGTTGTCCTCCTTGTTCTTGATCCTTTAGTTGTTTGTGACCTTGCTTTGTTTTGATATATATGCCTGGTCCCTGACTTTGGTCTGTTCCTTAGCTATGACTCCCTCTGCCTCCCATTTCACTATTGGACTTTGGAGTGTATTTAGAATTGGTCTTGCCTCAAGTTCTCTTGTCCTTGTGCAGAACCATCTGTCTTGACTCCTGCCATCCAGGCTCTGGATGCTGACAGAGCCTTAGCAGCTTGTCATGCCAAGCACTATTTGCTTAATTGCCTTCCTGCTCTAAGTTGTGTCACCAAATAGGGGTGGCATGGCTTGCTGGAGGGGGAAACAACCCTTGAAGGACCTATGGCCTGTTGTTCTGTTATTTGAGAACTGTTTACCCCTCCAACAAGCCACGCTACCTAAGTTTGGACAACACAACCAGCCACAGCCCTGGGGGCAGGGAATTAGGCAAATGACACCAGGCCATGCAGCGGTACACATCACAGCTTAAATGAGCCGCAGTGGCTTGCTTAAGCTGCAGTAGTTTTGTGAATCAGGCTTCTGAGGCTTACTAAGCTCAGCTGCAGCATACCAATAGATGCCTCTGTCAAAAAGCAATTCAGCTGCTAAATCAGCATGGTTTTGGTGAGTGCTTAACCTCTCTGGTGTTCAGCACTTTCTGCAGTTTCAGGACTTGTAACAGAACAGGAGAAATAGTGGCAAGGGACTTTGTGAAAATATAGTCCCATACTCAAATTACACCCCTTATGTCAAAGTGGGACTGGAGAATAGGAATCATGTCTACAACTTGGGAACAAGATCACATCTGATTAGGAGTACTAGGGATACTAAGCATTATAACTTCATTATTATTTCTCCTTTGAGAAGTCACTATCAAAACACGAATTGATATAATGGACTTCCTACTCTCAGGTATTTCCAATAGCATGGTCCAGGATAATCCTTATGATCCTGTTATGATTTCTCAAGTGTTGTGATTTTCTGAAGTCCCTTCATTTGCATGCACTAATGTTGCCATGTTTGTCACTTTCCATTTTCTCTACCTAGCACCAATGAATGACTTCCCCATTGCATGAGTCTTCCTTAGCTATGTGATGCTGACATTAGAGATTTGGATTCTGGGACCATGGGTTATGGACGGCTGGCAGTGGATGGGTCGCACCTTACCAGGATTGGAAAGAATGTGATTGCCCACAGTAGGAAGAAATGTATGTCAACTAAATCCTAAAAAGGAGGGAGACGAACACCTGAGGCTAACAATGGACAAGGACTCATGCACCAAAATAGAAAAAGCAGTTCTAATGGCACCCAATAATAGTATTGCAAAAACACGTAGGACTAAAGCTAGTGTATAAAATGCATGGCCTTCAATGTTTATATACTAATAACAGAACAATGACAAGCAATGGTCCACGGCAAGTGACTCTAACAATAAAAGGAGTCCCGGATGGGTGGGAATTTTTTTTAAAAGGAAATTTTAAAGGCACAATAATAAACAATTCCAACAAGTAAAAAAGGTAGAAGACAACAGAAGAAATCAGTGTGGCTTCACAAAAAGCTCAGAGATGATCTGAAAGTGAAACAAGACATGCAAAGAGGAAGGAGACATAAACTACTTGGAAGCGAGGCCTGTAACCTTGATGCTGCTGAGCCATGGGTGGGGTTCTGGTAGCTTCAGCAGTATCAGCTCTCACTTGTGACTGGAGAGCTCTTGCAAACAATGTCAGATCTTCAGTTCTGCTCTCTCTATCCTATTTTCTCTCTGATCTTGCTGTGCGTCTGGGCCTCTGTCCTACAGACCCATACACTGCTACCTGACTTTGCCTTTGACTATGTTTTTACTTGATTGATCTCCTTGGCAATGCCTCTGATCTCTCCATGGAAAAGGCCTTACATGTCTGGTAGAACTGTACCTGACCACTTGCTGCTGAATTGATTGTTCTATTGTTTAGATCAGTGTAATTGCTTAGTAAAGAACTAGGACTCAATTTAGAGCAGGCCATGACAAGAAAAAACCAGAAAGAGTCCACTGGGGGTATACAATCAAAAGAACGTTTACAATTTATTTAGACATACAGGAAATACATGTAGCATCTCAACCCTATTGTTTTACTCCCTTGTGCCTCTAGCAAACTGCCAATGTAATCCCCCCCCCTGTTCCCCACCTCCTCCTGTTTTTGTGACTAATAGGCTGCAAAAGCGTCTTGTACAGATTCCACCTTTCTAATCCCTTTGGGGGCTACCTACATGCTGCCTGTACTTCCTGTATTGCTGAATAAACTGTGAGGTTCTTCTGACTGCCCCCAGCTTACTTGCAGTTCCTTTTTTTTTTTTTTTTTGACACAATATATGTGGGGGACAGCAGGTTGGGAAATGCTGGTTTAGTACTGCACATGCATGGTGCCCATCTAATACTTTTCTTCACAACAAATCAAGTAAAGAATAATAGCAACAAACAGTCCATGCTTTCAATAAATTGCTGCAAATCAGCTATTTATGCAGGCCCCACCTTGAGATGGGCTGTACATGTACATATACATGTGCTATTTTCAGTTACAAAGCTGCAGTTCTTTCTCTCCACTTAAAAAAGACTGACTCTATTGTTTCTCGTATGTGTAAGTAAGTATACTCTTCATGAAATTAGCCTGAAACCCCATTGCCCATTCAGAACATACCAACTGCCATTAAAGAAACATTAAGATTGCATTCTTTATCCTAGTTACTAGGGAGCAAGTTCCACTGAATTCAGTGGCACTTACTCCTAAGTAAATATGTTTAGGAGTGTTCTGTAAGGCTCCTTTTTCAAACTCCTGCTTCCGCAGCACACTAGAGAAAAAAAAAGTGTTAGATTCATTGACTTGTAATGACTAACTTCATAATGCAGTGATGTCTGCCGTATATCCCCAACAAATCCTAGAAGCACCAAACTTAGAACCACTAAATAGTGTTGCGTGTATGACTTACTTCAGGCAGGGAAATGTACTTGTGGACTAGAACCTCAAGATGCACCAGCCAGAGAGGTGCAAAGGACATACACTTAAAGTACAATATGCAAGGTTAGACTGAAAAATGGCCTACAGTTCCCAGCATGCCCAAGCCAACCATGCCTAGCTTGCATACCTGTTAAGTGTGAACGACCCACTGAAAACATAGCTGGCTGGGGCATGCTGGGAGTTGTAGGCTTTTTTTCCCCCTTTCTAAACTTGCACAGGATTGTGTCCTTAGCTGGAAGAAATAGGATGGAAGGCTGAAAAGCTGCTGAGTGAGGATAGCGAATTGTTTTGACTGGAGGGGCTTTAGCTCAGTCGTGGAGCCTGTGTTTTGCATGCAAAAGGTCCCAGGTTCAATCCCAGGCATCTATCTCCTGGAGAGCTGCTGTCAGTCACTGTGTCAATACTGGGCTAAAAGACCAGTGGCCTGCCTTGCTACAAGGCAGCTTCTGATTTATGTCAGAATTGAAGGAAGCTCAACCTTTTCACACAAAAACCTTTTCATTTCAGCAGCCTAATTTAGATAGGGAATGTGATTTTGTTGTTGCTATTGTAAAATAACTGCAAGTCAGAAACCACTACAGATTTACTGTAAATCATATAGAAATGTAGCAGTTAGATCCTGACTTACCTTCTTCTCACCCCTGAAACTCTGGGATAGCTAACAATGCTTTTCACTCCACAGTTAACATAAAATTCGATCAAATCCTTTTATTATGTGGAAGACATCTGGATTAAACCCTTGTATTACTGGATGACTTTTCCCATTTCTGCATTAATTTTCTCCACCAGATCAAAGCAGGTGGTTAGAAAACAGCCACTACAGATTCATAACCCCCTCATCATAATCAGTTTCCCTTGCGGTTCCAGCATCCCATTTCCGGCACGCTCTTATCAAACCCTTTAGAGAGGAAAGAACCGCTAGCGTCCTACCAGGCCTAATCCAGCGAATAACCGAAGCTGAGCAATTTGCTGCAAGCGCATGTTCCCACCAGCGACCCACGGGGTCTCTCAGTACGTGCGCGCGCGTACCGCCGCCGAATGAGCACCTTGGATACAGAGGATCCGCTGACGTCACAAGGGTCCAGGATAACGGAAGGGTGGCTGCGATCTAGAACTGTAAGAAGTCCCACATTTGCTTCTGCCAGAATCCAGAGCATCTTCGTGCGCCCCCGCCTTCCCCGCGCTTGGCTCCTGCAGGCAGGGTGGGGGAATGTTCGCGGGGCGGGCAAACCGGGCGCCGCTGGGCCAATAAGACACACCAAAGGCCAGGACGCCCGCCCCGCACGCACGTGGCTCGGCGGCCGCTCCCACCCCCGGCACCGCGGCTGCAGTGTCACGTGCGGCCGGTGGCTGCCCTTCGGAGCCTGGGCTGAAACTGAGCTGCGCGCCTAGCTGCTTTGCTGAGGATGGCTGGGCATGCGGCGGCCGCAGGGCTGGGCCCTGGGCAGCTGGAGCGCCGAAGCGCTTGCTGCTGGGGCCGGAGCCGAGGCGCGGTGCTGCTGCTCTTCTTCTCGCTGTCACCGCGGCCCCCTGGCGGAGCGGCGTGGTTGCTGGGGCTGAGACCGGAGGACACGACGCCCGGGCGCGTGTGGCTCGAAGGGGGAGCTCTGCGGGCGGCCGAGGGATCCCGCTTCTTGCTGCGCCTCTACTTCCAGCCACCAGCCGAGGGAAGCAACAGCAGCAGGAACAGCAGCAGCGGGCGACAGCAGAGCGAGCCCCGCTTAGTCTTCGTCGAGGAGCCGGCCAAGGCGGAGCACTGTCCCGAGCGCGGCGCCTGGGCCTCCGATGTGGAGGTGCTGGGCCCGCTGCTGCCCGGTGGCTCGGCCGGCTCAGCGTTGGCCGAGGTGAGGGTGCGCGAGCCACGAAAGGGCGAGCCGGGTGCCGGGCCCGAGGGGCGCCGCTTCTGGCTGTGCGCCTGGGACGGGGGCGCCTGGCAACTGCACGGCACGCCGGGGGGCTTCCTGCTGCAAGTGGAGGCGCCGGTGGCGGGCTTGGCTGCGGGACTGGTCCCGCTGCCCACCGAGGGTTGGCTGAGGGCGCTGGGCGCGCTCGTCTTGCTGGCGCTGTCGGCCCTTTTCAGCGGCCTCCGCTTGGCCGTGCTGTCGCTCGATCCGATGGAGCTGCGCGTGCTGCGCAACAGCGGCTCGGCGGCGGAGCGGGAGCAGGCGCGCAAGGTGGAGGCGGCGCGTGGCCGCGGCGGGAGCGGCACGTACCTGCTGTGCACGCTGCTGCTCGGGCAGGCTGGCGCCAACGCGGCGTTGGCGGGCTGGTTGTGCGCCGCGCTGCAGGCCGGGCACAGCCCCCTGCCGGAAGCCAGCCAAGGCGTGCCCTGGGTCCCTGTGCTGCTTTGCACCAGTGTGGTCTTCCTAGGCGGTGAGGTGCTGCCTTACTCGGTGTGCTCCCGCCACGGGCTGGCCATCGCAGCGCACACACTCTTTCTCACGCGCCTGCTGATGGCGGCCACCTTCCCAATCTGCTACCCACTCAGCCTCTTGCTGGACTGGGCACTGCACCAGGAGCTGAGTACCTTTTCCACCCGGGAGCGCCTGTTGGAGACGCTGCGGGATGCTGACCCCCACGGTGACCTGGTGAGCGAGGAGCTGGCGATGGTGCAAGGTGCGCTGGAGCTGCGCACCAAGGTTGTCGAGGACATCCTGACACCCCTGAGTGACTGCTTTATGTTGCGCTCTGATGCTACTCTAGACTTTGCCACCATTTCTGAGATCCTGCGCTCAGGCTACACACGCATCCCAGTGTATGAAGGTGAGCGACGAGACAACATTGTGGACTTGCTGTTTGTCAAGGACTTGGCCTTTGTGGATCCTGATGACTGCACCCCGCTGCAGACAGTCACCCGCTTCTACCACCGCCCGCTGCACTGTGTCTTCCATGACACCCGCCTAGATGCACTGCTCGAGGAGTTCAAGAAGGGTGAGGGCCCGGGGCCCCAGCTGCTCGCCTCCCGCCAGCATCATATGCCTCTCTGCTCCCTGTGCACCCTGCTTGCGAGGTACCCTGGGATTCCACAACGCCCACTCCTGCATTGGCCTGCCCTCTTTTTAGAGCCTTGTCCTGCCTGAGGATTGTGGCTGGACTCTTGGAAGGCAGGCGAGTGTGTGTGTGTGTGTGTGCCCATGCTCTGGTCACACATGACCCATGTAATTCATTGGGATTATTCACAGACTCCACTGAGTCTATTAGGATGGACATCAAAGATGTTCTCCTGAAGCTGCTTGGGGAGGAATAGCTTGGTAAATAGGCATTTTCCACCCAGTTTACATGAGCCAATATAGATTAAACATAATTCTGTTGGTTTCTTAGTCTCAGGCAGCCTTCCCAACCTGGTGATCACCAGATGTTTTCAACTGCAACCCCAGTCAACGGCCAGCAAGCATAGCTGATGGTCAGAGATGATAGAAGGTATAGTCCAAAAGACTAGGAAGACACCAAGTTGTAGGAAGCTGGCTTAGTTCCATTCATTTTCAAGTTGGTGCTTCTTGCAGAGGGGTTCTGATCTATCGGATACTGGTCTACTGCAGCTTTCATCAACATGATGCCTTCCATATGTGTTGAGCTGCAAGTCCATTGGTGTGGTGCAATGGGAACTGCAGGCCAACACTGTTGAGGGCACCATGTTGGGAGAGGCTGCTCTGCTGCTTCCTTCCTCCAAATAAGGAAAGATGGTTGTGCCATCATCTCCCTCTTCCAGCAGAGCATTTGTGTTACTGGTTTGTCCCATCAAGGAGTCTCCTGCATGCAGCAAACCTATGAATGAATGCACTCTGAAAGGGCTTGTCCTTTATAGCCCCACTGAGCTCTTTTAAACCAAAGCTGTGGGTTCCTTTATGAAGTCAATCTGTCTCATATTTGGCCTTTGCTTTTGCTTTTGTCTTCAACCTTCTCTAGTATTAATGTCTTCTCCAGTGACTTTTGCCTTCTCATAATGTGCCCAAAGTATGGCAGTTTCAGAGAAATTTCTGACTTGATTTGATCTAGAGCCCATTTGTATATCTTTGTCAGTCCAGGCTATTCACAGAAAGCATTATTAGTAATGCTATAAGATACAGTCGCTATAAACAAATTGTTTTATATCAGATCTGGTTTGTTTCACTGCATTGTACACACAGCAGCTTTCCAGGGATTGGAGATGCTGGGGATCAAATCTGGGAACTTAGGCATTAAAGCATACCATATTTGTCCCTCTATAAGACGCGCCTGACCATAAGACGCACCTAGATTTTAGAGGAGGAAAAAAAGAAAAAAAAGTATTCTGAATCAAACGGGCACTTAATCACAGGCACATTCCCCATCACTTCCCCATGGGCTGTACATCTGACAGACTTACTGCATACACATATTCGCTCTATAAGAGGCACAGACATTTACCCTTACTTTTGAGGGGGGAAAAAGTGCATCTTATAGAGCAAAAAATATGGTATATTCTACCACTAAGCTGTGGCTTATTGCTAGTGAGACTCTGCTAAACTTCCATGTACTGGATGCACCTGCCCTAAATTGCAGAATGGCTGCAGAGCAACTAACCCTAGTCCTGACTTCTACATCATTTTCAAATATGGGGTTGAATTTTATTTTTCTGGCCCTGTATATTAGATGCAAGGTTGAACGCGAGATCAAGTAGGGAAGCAGATGCAAGAAGAGGACACATGATCGTAGCTTTAAATGTTTGGTCACAAAGCTTCTGTTCCCCATAAGTTCACTCCTTAGGAATAACTGACTTGGATTAAAGCTGTAGAGATGTATGAATTCATTCTAGAGGCAGCATCTGTATGTTGTCCAAACAGTGTTTAATTTGTATCTGTGCCCAGCATCTAGAAACAGAACAGACCCTGGGAATTGTGGGGTACCCCAAAGCAGGCGTACCGCCAGTGGTTTAGTGAGCTTCTGAATCTGTTACTTTCTGGAGAGGATTTAGGCAGAGCAGTGTTAGAGGATGAGTCACTATGGCTGGAGTGCCAAATCTTTAATTTGGAATCCCAGCTTCCCCACTGCCTTGCCAACCATTTACACCTGCTGAAATAAAGGTGCAGGGTTCAAAGATGATTCCCTTGGATTTTGCGACATGTGCTTCACCTCCTGCTGCCCCCCTTGAATCTTTCTGTCTGAGGTTTTTTTCCTGGAATCAGTTGCCTTCCTCACCCTGTCTGCACCATCCTTTTTACAGACAGGGGTGTCCTTAGGAAACAGAGTCCTTTAAAGACACACATGCACAGATTCTACAGCATATGGAAATTAGCCAATGAAAATTTGTGCATTTTGTTTGCCCTGTCGACCTGAAACCTAGATCTAGTGGAACCTAGCACTACCCAGTGAATGGACATTTAGTCTGATAGGATAGTTATTGAGCATGTAAATGGCAGCCTGTCAGTACTTGGAACTATATTTATTTATTTATTACATTTTGTACCATTCAGTAGCCCAAAGGTGCTCTCTATATTTCATCTTTCTGCTAACTTTTCTAGGCACAGTTTATGTACCTCTTGCTTTTGTTTCATCAACATTTATGAGTGTGTCTTAGCTTAAGTGCCGCAATTAATGGTTGAACTCACCCTAAATATGAGAGTCTATTATATGAACGTCGCAATTTGTGTGCAACACTGCTGCAGTCATCTCAGGTACCCAGTTCGGGTTTATTAGGAGAGCATCTCTTGGTCAGCTGTAGCAACCTGGGCAGGTAAATACATTGCATTCAAAATGATGGCTAGCAATAGTGTACTGGATAAGGTCACAGTGCTGGCACTTTGGAATTAGCAGGGATGCTGACATCTCTCACACTCCTGCATTGCCTTTTCCCTCAAGATTAGCAGCAATCCTCACAATAGCTGGGAGGAAATGAATTTTCCCAACAGCAGTATGTTGCTTCCTGTATTTTGGGGTGGCTTGGCCTTGAATAGGCAGGTGAAACCCATTTGCTCTACAAAAGACCTTCCCCTGGTGGAAATGAAAACTGTTAGAATCCATTTGTTGATACGGATCAGAACAGCTACCTGCATTTTTGGACTCTCATTGGGGATGTGTTGTAGTGAATGCCTGCACTTCAACAATGTTCACCACTTCTGCTTATCTCCAGATATCCCCAAGTGGTGCTAGAGTCATTTGGCTGAGTTGCAGCTGAATGTGCCAGACACTGGCAATCTAAAGCAGCTGTCCTCCTGAAAGGCAGGGAGTTAGCTTCTTTCTTTAATCTCCAGGTGTGCAGTACAGGCTCCCCTGACACTGTTCAGCTTTTCTGTGGCCATCTGTAAATCATTACAGCTCATTGATGTTGTTCAGGGTCACCAGCATTCATGATTTTATTGTGAACCTTGTGATATAGGATGCTAAAGCTTCAGCAGCTAAAACAGTGGAATTCTTGCTCACCTTTTTTTCAGAATTCAGTTTTCTAGATGTTTACAGTACATCTGTAAAAGCTCAGAAACTAAGCGACAAACAGTGCTAAGTAAAGTGCTTCTCTTGGAACTCTGATGAGGTGGTCAGTACTGCTAGGAAGGCATTGTACCAGTCATGCTGATACAATAAGCATGCTGATGAGTGAATTCAGAGGACCCTGCAACCTAGTATTGCACATTACAATAAAAGGTGACGGCGCAGCGCTACAGAATCTCAGGTACACTGTCCCAGTGTGGCCTGCCTGGAGTTCTGCCCTAGCCCAACAAGGTTTCTCAGATGGCTCTACCTTCTTTCGTTCAACACTGTTATCATGGTGAATTTGGCAACTGTGAATGTTGTCATGGTGATGATTAGGAAACCTCTTGTTGGCTATGAAATGGAACAGAAATGGACCTGCCTGGTGACCAAAAAAAAACTGCACTGCTACTTAACAGCAGGAGAGCAAGGCTAAGAATTTCTGAAACCTATGCATCTTCCCCCCAATCACCTCCACTTTGTTGAGAATTCTTTAAAGTGACATTCATAACATTATGCTAAGTATCCAGGTGGAGATCTAGGCAGTGCTGAATAATATGCCTGATGACTTGTCTTTAATTTTCCTGTTCGTGTAGCTTAGTATAATCTTGCTGAGTCATGTTCATCTTGCTTTCCTCTCAGTAGCACTGCTTCCTAGCAAATTATTTCCGCACTCGGATGCTTTGGAAGGCTCTCACATAAGCATGGGATGTGGGAAAGAGCAGCTGCAGCCTTTGTCCCATAGAGGTAGCATAATGCTAGAAGGCAAAGAATCTTGCAGAGGAATGAAGCTAAATCCAAAACCTTTCACTTTTGTTCTTTTTTCTAGACACCTAACCTAGACTGCTTTGTTTTTCGCCCTATAGAAGAAATGTTGGGGTTTGTTTCATTTTTTTTAAATAACATAAAAATAAAATTGTAAACAAAAAAGAAACTGTTTCAGAACATCTTTTGGTCCAGGAAGCATAATTAAGCATCTCAACAGCACTGATCTGTTTCCTATCATAAGATCTGAATGTCAGAGAAGAGACCCTGAATTTCTGGCCATCCTTTTGAGTCCTGTGTGTGGGAGTAATATGGGAAGCTGGGCCTATTTGCTGAGGGTGCTCTAGAGGTGGTATGCAAGACTGCATGCTTGCGTTTGAGCCCCGCTCTTGCAGCCTCAAGGGGAGGCCATCTGTGCACCCCACCTGCTATCCACAGGCACTTTCTGAAATGAAGGCACATGGGTGCGGATGGCATGTGTGGCCTCTGAGCTCCCCTGGCTAAGCTGGCTTACTTTATCTGAAGACAATGCCCTCCCCGGTCCATGCATCCTTTTTATAAACAGGAGCATCCTTAGAAGATGGGGGCCTTTAAAGACAGGTGCAGACACAGACTTTAGAGTAGACATGAATTAAGCAAAGCATTTAATGTGTGCATTTGTCCTGTGGGCCTAAACCCTGGAACATTTTGGTACCTAGCACCACCTCTGGAGCATGTAGCCCTTAGCCGAAAGTTTTATTTGAACTTTCACTGATTTTATTTATTTATTAAAACTTTCATTTACTGTTCAATCAGCAACAGGCTCTCTGAATGATGTACAGTAAGAAAGAACCATATAAAATATTACAATAAAAATAACAGGTATCAAGATGCCAACAGAAACATCAAATTAAATAGATACAACTTGGTAAACTTTATCAAAATAATAATTATTAATCCACAGTAGCACCAACAAGATGAATTAAAACCAATATAAAACAGTACAGTCACATTTAACAATTAAAATACCAGAAAAATAAAAAAATAACAAGGTTTTAGCCTAACACCAGGTGTGCCTCTCTGGGGAGCAATTTCTGCAGTTAGGGTGCCACAATCAAGAAGGCCCTTCCCCATGTGGCCACCATCCTTGCATCTTTTAAATGTAACTTCCAGAGAAGACCTCCATAGATGATCTTAGGATTTGGGTTGGTGTGTGTGGGAGGAGACATTCTTTCAGATAGCCAGGCCTTAATGTCTTCCAAATGTTCTGGACTGTAACTCCCATCATTCCCAGGCAGTTGGATACTGTTGCAGAACAACACATTATGAGAGCACCAGGTTGGGAAGTGGGGTCACAGTTTAGGTTTTTCTTGCTGTTTCACCTTTCTGTCTTACCACTCTGAACTCCCTGGTGCCCAGATAATCATAGCATCTTCTCTGCCAGTTCACAGGCTTGAGCTTCAGGGTGGAACTAAATTGCTGAGATGAGGAAGGTGCCTTGCTCAGACTCCCACAGTTTGCCTGCCCTGGACAGGGATGACATCCAACAGAACACTTTTGCTTTGCATATCCATTTCAAAAGAGGACTGCTAGCCCCCAGAGCCTGTGGGTCTCATCTAGTGTTTCACTTCTGCTCTTCTGTTGGGTGCAGCGGGAAGCACAACTGAATGATGGTTCAGCTTGTTTCTTTTTATTTTGCCCTTGCAGGTAAATCACACCTGGCCATTGTGCAGCGAGTGAATAATGAAGGGGAAGGAGACCCTTTTTATGAGGTGATGGGGATTGTCACCCTTGAGGATGTGATTGAAGAGATAATCAAATCTGAGATTCTGGATGAGACAGACCTCTACAGTGAGTATCTGGAGCACAACAGTGGCACCAACAGACACACTGCTTTACTTAGTGCCAGCAATGAAGATACGTAATAAACTCTGTTCCTGGGGCACAAATACCACCAGTGGGAACTGTTGGGACCTACTTTGATTCCTTGATGCTTTGCATGCCTTTCTTTCTGGCACCTGTGAAGTTCTTGCCAAATCCCTCTAAAAGGTTCTGAATTGTAGAACATGTGCTTTTCTTCCCGATTCTCCAGAGTTACTCATATAATTGGTCTGTGCCAGTCTCTTTCCACTGTGCTATTTCTTGTTAATTTTCAGCTTGTCAGCCAGCCATCTTGCTCTGATTTTCTGATTTAGCCAGGTTCACACACATGGTCATGTGAGATGGAACAGGCCTCTGTGGTTGGATCCCAGCATCCTACTTATCAAGGAGGCAGATCCTTAATATGTAAGACCGGTCAGTAAGGTGATGCTTTTTCTTAGGAAAGAAAATGAGAAGGCACACGGTCCATGCCAGTGCATGCTTACTGAGAAGTAAATTCCACTGAGTTCGGCTTACTCCTAGATGTGTTTAGGATGATGCTTTTGACAGGCTGATGACGGATCTTGTACAGTCTGGAATGGCATGGAAAGAGAATTATCCTCTCTCTCAAAATACTAGAACAGGGTTCTTCCAGGGAATGGGACACAAAATGGGTTTGGCAAGACCAAGCACAAGTTATTAGTTGTTGGAGAGAGGAAAAAGGGTACATTTGTGTGTGCAACTTGAACATTAACAGTTCTGTGACTATATCTTTGCTGTCCTGACCTTCAGCTGAAAATCACAAGAAAGAGCGGGCACCCCATAGGGGTAGGAAACCGCATGATTTTTCCATCTTCCGGCTCTCAGATAGTGAAATGAGGGTGAAGATCTCCCCACAGCTATTGCTGGCTACGCACCGCTTCATGGCTACAGGTAACTTGATTCCTCCCAAATCTTGCTCTCCCTTGGCACCTGGATGCCTCATTACCTGAGGCCAGCATTGCATTGCTGGGCAAGTATCATGCCTATTTACCCTAAGGTTTATGCTTTTGTTCCATCTTCCACTTACAAGGATGGAATTATACCTCAGCTTTCTTACCTCAGTGTCTGATCTCTGTTTCCTGTGTTGTAGCTTTGACTCAGTGGAGAACTTCCTTGAACTCCAGGTTTCACCTGGAAATGGGTGTTGATGGGTGCAGGGCATAATTTTACTTTGGGGACTTTCTTCCCCACTCACAGTCTCTGACCTGGAGGATTCCCTCTTTATAAGCCCGAACCGCTTGCCTTTCCATTCTCCCGTTGCAGAAGTGGAGCCCTTCAAGGCACCGTATCTCTCAGAAAAGATCCTGCTGCGGTTGCTCAAACACCCAAATGTCATCCAGGAGATGAAGTTTGACCACAAGAACAAGCGAGCTCCTGAGCACTACCTCTACCAGCGCAACCGGCCAGTTGACTACTTTGTGCTCATCCTGCAGGTTTGTCAAGATTATTGGTGGGAGTCTGAAACCCAGAAGGTCTCTATCTTCTGCAAGTTCGCTTGACATGAGCCTCCTTGTACGTAGACTCCTGTCTGTAGGCTGTGTGTTCACTTCTCTAGCAGGAACAGAGTTATCATTCCAGCTCTTTTGCCCTGAAGGTGATGACAGTTTGAATCTGCTGTGAAACAGCTACACGCTGGTTCGCGCATTGTAATGACTGGCGAGTTCTGTAATGTGGTGCTTGTAAGATGGCTAAATAATTGGTGTGCCAGATTTTGTTCACAGTTAAAACCAATCATACTGCTGTATTTCTTAATACTCTTAATTCTTACAGTTTTCAAACTCAATTTCTTGTTGTTTGCAGGCTGGTGTTTGGAAAATATTTTGTTTGCTTGAGCTTGGCTTATGGCCTCCAGCCAGTTGTATACCCCCAGTGTGCTTTTTCCCCTGCCCAAGGCTGGCTTTTTATTTTGACCCTGGGGAAATCCATGCTGGGACCTTCCTTCCTATGACCACTGTCAATCATGCGTTTCACTCCTGCCAAGCAACCACTCCAACCATATCAGGTATGGCAGCTTCTGGTGCCCTGCAGTTATTTTGGACTTCAGTTCTCATCAGCCAGCATGGTCAACGGTGAGGAATACTGGGAGATGTAGTCCTAAATATCTGGAAGACACCAAGTTGCGCGAAGGCTGAGATAGAAATTGTCCCAGCGCTGCAAGTGACCCTCAATCCCTTGGCTTTTCTCATCTGATAACCCCAGTTGCATCTTCTACTTTTTTGAAGAAAGAACCACAGGTATCTGGTGAATGTTCTTGCCCAAAGTAATTTTCCAAAGCTGTACTGCTGCTTTTCCTTTGCTGGTTTCCTTGACGAATGTCTAAAACTCTGAGGGAAGGCATTCCTGGTGCTGCTGAGTTGCATGTCATTTGTTTTTGTTTCTTCAGGGAGAGGTGGAAGTGGAAGTGGGGAAGGAAGGCCTGCGTTTTGAGAATGGGGCGTTTACTTACTATGGTGTCCCAGCCATCATGGCCGTAGTCTGCTCAGGTAAAAAGCCAGAACTGGCCACAGGATGAATTGAGGGCACCCCAAGGGTGCAGGGCTTGTCTGTACTGCTCTCCAGTACCTACTCTGATATTCATAAACAAATAGCCAAGGTGTGTAACTTGAAAAAAAATGGCAACATGTATTCTGATTGTAATATTTGGACTTTTGCAGAAATTCTTGTTGTAGCAAATCATGAAGTTGCAAACAACAAAGAAGATAAGTGTGGGCAGGAGGCAGGAGCCAGTATCTGTGATGAAGGCTAGATCGCTGAACTAAATGCATAAGAACCCAACTGCAGGATGGGGAATGTGTGCCCCTGCAAAAGATGTTGGACTGTAAGTCCCATCAGCCCTAGCCTACCTAGTCAGTGGTAAGGGATGATGGGAGTTGCAGTCCAGCAGCATCTAGAGGGCCACACATTCCCCAGCTTCCCCTACTGCCAGGAGCCCTCAGAAGAACTCCTCTTAGTCTTTGCCATTGCATCCTGCTTGTTCTGTGTCCCTCACTCTGGCCCAGAGGAGCGGGGGGATGGTGAGGAGGAGGAGTGGATGCTGCTGCTTGCCTGCCTGCTTTCTGCCTGTCAGGCAAGCAAATGCATGCTGAGTGACAGAATGAGAAGGAGCAGCAGCTAGTGAATGGAGAGCGCAGGTAGACTCATGGAGTTGTCTGGCCCGAATGTCCTCAGAGACCTGGAGCTGGGGCTAGCGGTCATACAGCCAGACCTCACATCTTTTAGGTAGAGTGTTTTTGGCTTCAACTTACTGTGAAGTCAAATTCTGTGATGGGTTTGAATCCTCTGTTTTACACAGATGAGCATGCACAGTTCAAACACTGTTATTAGTGGGAGCAGCAAAACTGATTAGGTGAAAGTCACAGGGCTTCAGGATATCTGAGCTGCCTAACATGGGAAGGATCTTTATGGCATGCACATTGCATTTCCTTCTTTCCCAAGGGTGAAAGAAGCCCCTCTCCTTCTGCTCCCGCTGACAATTTTTAAGTGAAAAGCTATACTGTCTCCTTCTCTATAGGAGCTGGAGCTGCAGTGAGGGGAATATAGTAACAGAAAATAGTTATGGAAAGTCCCAGACTAGAAAGAAAGGCATCAGTGAGAATACTCTCCCATATCCTATTAAGTAGACCAGACAGACCTTGTGGGATGAGGGGTCTGTCATTCATCACAGGCCCCTCCAGGCATCTTGCCATTGGCATGACACACCTGCCTCTTCATCCGCTTGAGTAGGTATTTCTTTCCTGTACAGGGTAGGGGTTGCGCAGCAAAGCCCTGACTGGGACTCACCTTCCATCTGCCCCCTGTATTTTCAGATAACGACGTGCGCAAAATGAGCAGCCTGGCTGGGTCATCCGTTCTGCGTAGGTATCTTCTCTCTGACCTGATGATGATGGTGGGCTGTGCAGGGCTGGTTGCAGGCTTGGAATTCTCTCATCTGCCAGGCGAATGTCTGCGGTTAAAGGGCTGTGCTTCCTGCCAGCTCTTGCAAGTAGCACCATACACAGAACCCCATTCCTCCTCCCAGCCTGTGAAGGGCTGCCCTGCATGTTCCAGCTATTATTTTGGGATCTGCCTGCAGCCACACCCAGTTCTCCAGCCCAAGAGGTTCAGTTAGGTTTTACCAATATCGATTTCTCCTTTGCTTTAGCTACCGTAGGACAGCATTCTGACATTATTGTTAGTATTTTGATTGCTAGCAAGTAGAAGTGCAGAATAGGTGTCGGATCGTTACTTCCAATAGGATTTGGAGTGCTGAGATAGCAGCTGTGAGAATGCTTGATTGTGCAACCTGAGGCCTGAACCATACAAGAAAAACCTTCCCTCTTGTGATGGGTCATGGAATGCAACCAGCAAACAAAGGGGTAGCTTGGAATATATTAGGGACTGTATGAATGAGGATGACAGCCACAGTAGGCATTTTTAAAAGATGACAAGAAATGAAACCACTGTAGGTACTAGAATCCAGCCCTGAGGGGAAAGGACAGCAAATAACTTATTTCTGGAATATCTCCAGTTTTTGCCTGCCAGGGTCTGACCTTTGACCCCTGTGAAATGGAGATTGGGTTGGCTGATAAAATTGGTGGAGCACTGAAAGCCCCCCTAGCTGTTAGAGTGCCACTCTAGTCTTTTCTTTCCTATTAAATTTCCATAGTAAATGTTTTCTAGCATAGCCTTAAGCTATGGGCATCTTATTGATCAGCTGGCCCGGCATCAGTGATAGGCATTGCCGGGCATCTTCCACATGCAGACTTGACATCTCCGCTACCGGGCTGTTGAATAATGAGGAAAAGTGTCCCCTCACCATTTCTCTCTCTTTCTCTCTGGTCCAGTGGCAAAGAGGCAGAGCTAAAGCTGCCATTTGCTGCCTCACCCAGCCACCTTTTCTCTTCCGGCCTAATACAAGGCCGCGGCCCCCCTGCCGCTACCTCCTGGTCATTCTCCCACACAAACCCCCTGCACCCTCATTCCCCTGCCTCTGTGCCCAGTCCAGGGGCAGCAAAAAAAGAGCAGCCACCACACGCACTGGCCCAGAAGCTCCTTACATATGAGCCTGCAACTGTTCAGGATGCATCAAAGTTAGAGCTCGCTAACATACTGGTCTGAACAGTAATGGCATCAGCCAAGTGTATCTCAATTCCCAGGCAAAGCCCACTCTTTTCTTTTTAAATCAGTGCAAGTAAAGAAAATTGGTAGAAGCAACATTTATGACCTTTATAGCTTGGGTCCTTAGTCTCTTGTGAATGCCCTAAAATAAACCTGCTCTTCAGTGTTTGCTTCATGTGTGCTTGTGGTGCCATCCCGTGGTAATTTTTGGAAGTGCATCATGGATGTGTACGTGCTCGTGAAATACTGATTACATCAACTGTTCTGTTTCCATGTGTCTTAAATGTGATCCTGTGAAGGGAGACGCCGTGTCCATGAGATGATGCTGGGTGGCATGTAGACGGCCCGTACCTTGCATACCCTGCTAACAGCCATATGCTTGCACAAAAGTCTGCGGAGGGACTCTCCATAATACAATCTTAAAACACCAAATGTCCTATGCACATTGAAACAGGTCAAAACTCCCAAGCATTTCCCAGTTAGCATGAAATTGTGCAGTAAGAGTGCTTGGGGAGATAAACAGGCCCAGTTATCTGGATCTGGCAGCATGTGCCTGATGGACCCTCATACATGTTCCTTTTATCTAGGCAGCTGCACTTCATCTGCAAGGCAGTTACGGATTAGTAATCATCAAGGGGAGACTGTGAGTGGCATCATAAAGCCACCATGCTGTTGTTTGTCTGGCCAAGTTCATTTTGTTCCTTCTAAACCCCTTCCCTTGCTCCCTCTCCATTTTCCCCTGATTTTTGTCTCCTGATCCTGGTCCTTTCTCTAGTGCCTGTGTCCATGTCCCGTACCTTCGCCTTCAGCAGAGGGGAATCTTTGGCTGGCTCCCCAGGTAACTGTATGCATAGCACCCAGCAAGAGTTCCCTTTCTGCTGCCTCATGATTCTGGGCTTGTGCTTATCTCTGAACCTTCCCTCCAATCCCAAGTACGGGAGAACACATGCAACACTGTCCCGCATGCTTGCAAAACTGAGCACTGTAAATATGCATGTGTTGTACTTTCGCCACAGCTGTATGTTTTGCCTGTGCTGAGCAATATTACCTATCCAAGTCCACATATAACGCTCCAGAGATGACTACTTCCTCATAATGTACGAAACACATGGGGAAGCACGTACTCAAAATAAATATGTATGGAGATGCATCTGTGCCAGGAATAATAGCATATAGAGAAACATGCTGTGTATGGTTCTTCAGATCCAAAGGAACATGTTCAGTCAGCCAGTTCCAAATGAAAGTTAAGCCACTAGGAGTCCAGGGATGCATCTCCTTTCTTGACAGGTTGCAGACCCACTACTACGGCTGGCATGTGTCTTCATGTTGACAGTAGCATTTCCAGCGATGTGCATGTTGCTTGAATTAAGAGGGAGCTTGCTGGAAGCTCAGCAAGGGAGAACCAGCAAATGAAGGGTGAAAAGGCCAAGACTGAGCATATGCACGCCAAACACCCAGCTATTAAAATCAGGGATTTAAGATAGGAAGCAAAGGGTTAAAGGGAAACCATATGGAAGTAGCAGTTTTTGAAGAGGGAAGTTAGTGCATCTGATGACGTGGACTGTAGTCCCCAAATGTGTGCCAGCCCTAGATGTGTGTCCCATTTAATTCTGTGCCTTAAGTCTTAGCTGGAAACAAAGCCATATGAGGAGAGACTGAAAGAACTGGGCATGTTTAGCCTTGATAAGAGAGGGGAGATAAGATAGCACTCTTCAAGTACTTGAAAGGTTGTCACAAAGAGGAAGCCCAGGCTCTCCTCTTGATCATCCCGGAGTGTAGGATACAGAATAACAGGCTCACATTACAGGAAGCCAGGTTCCAGCTGAACCCTGACGGCTAAAGCAGTATGGCAATGGAACCAATTACTTTGGGAGGTTGTGGACTCTCCCAGGGGGTTGGACCTGATGGTCTTCCTGGGCCCTTCCAACTGTTCTATGATTCTGTAAACACGTACCTGGAAATAAGTTGCAGAACCATGGGACTTCTGAGTCAGTGTGGGGCTGTACTCTGAGGTGTCACAAATCTCTGTATTGTTCTTGCCCTAGATAGGAAGGTAACCTAGAAAGGAAGTGTCAAGTGTTGCAGGTAGCAGGAAATAATAAAAAATGAAAGATACAAAGATTAGGATCAAGGAAATTAAAGGAGCAAAGAACTTGGGAATAACTGTAACGAGAGAGAATGTTCAAATTATAGGAAGGTGCAGGGCTGCAAGAGCAATGCCTTTGCTATTGGATCTCGGGGATGTAGATGGAATGAAAAGGAGTGTTAGCCAGCTTGGCCAGGAAGAATTTAGTAGGCATGCTAGGGTTGGGTAATGCCGTAGAGGAAAACCGCTGCAGGTACGCAACATGCTGCCTTTGGTGCCTGCCAGAGTTCCTGGCTTTTCTTTCAGTGATTTTAACTAGGGAGGCTGGCATGTGGCAATGATGTGCTATGGCCTGGCAGCTTTCTTAGCAAACAAAAAGGGCAGGTTGCCACCCTTCAGTGCTTTTGAATCCCACTGAGCCACCCAGAAAACAGGAAAAGGTAAGCTGAGATGGGGCAGTGTGCAATCCTGGGAGACTGAAGGGAACAGCGGGGAGGGGGATCATTTTGCTTCTGTGTGTGCGCGTGTGTGTGCGCGCGCATGTTGATAGGTTTGTGGTGTGATGTTTACTTCACCTAAAGAGAAAGAGAGAGAAGGGAGTACATGTTTTACCTGGGGGGGAGGGGGCAGTTGGTTTTGGTTTTTTGTATAGTATGTGTTTACAGTCTGTGGAGATGCAGGTGTGTTTTTCCTGTGTACATTTTTCTGAGCCTTATCTTCTGAAATGGATATTTTGTTGTGTTTGTCGCATGGGGTAAGTACAAGGTTTGGCATTAAGACTTAGATCCCACCACTGCTTGAACTCAATTTTCTGGCAAAATTATTTATCTGAACATCATTTGTTTTCCTTCTGTGAAATGAGTGCTGGATTACAAAATTGTACGTTCCCAAGAGTGGTTTCGTATTTTGGGGCCCGGACCCTACATCTTGTATTTAGGTTTTTTTGGCTAATTACTTTAGTTTAGCTTCACCAGTTTGCTTTCTAGGAAATAGGTGTTTTGTGGTGCACTTGGAAGTGCATACTGGTTCAGAAAAGTTGGGGACAGCTGTAAGATGCACAGATAGGTTTAATGGGAAGAGTTCGATCCAAAGCCATCGTGCAGATTGGTGCTGATAGTGGGGGAGAAAACAGTGATGGTTTCAGAAGGTCGAGTTAGCAGTGGATTAGGATAGACTCCACAAATATAATAAAGCAAATAATATGGTAGATAATATTATTGGCAATCAGTCGATCATGATTCCATAGTGACAGTTTCATTTGGGAAACCTGTCCCATTAGGCTGTGCCTTAAACAGCTTCAGGCAAGAGAGAATTCCACTTCAGGCATGTCTGCTTCTTGCAGCAGAACTAGGATGGTGACCTGAATTCACATAAGCTGAGTAATCCCTCAAATTTCTCCACTGCGAATGTCCTTTCTGCAAAGTGCTGCCACAAATCAGCTTGAGGAGTGTGCTGTGATCTGCATGTGCTTGAAGAAGAACAGAAGTTGATTAAAATCTACACAGTATTGTTCAACAAGCAGGCAGCTCTCTCCAGCCCTGTTGCCTATTGCTTCCGATGTCAGCTGATGCTCAGCAGTGAATTTGTTCCCCTTGAGCAACTCTGTTGTCTTACCCTTAAGACTTACCTTGATGTATCTGGCTGGAAGTCATTTCAGCAAGCAAGCCAAGATACCAACCTTGGGAAAGATTGAGGCTCCAATCCTGTACCCACTTATGTGAGCGTAAGCACCACTAAAACCAACAAGATTTAATTCTGAGTACACATGCGTGAGAGTGCACCGTCAGGGACTTAAGTAATGTTTTCGTGCCTCTGCATCTTCACTGCCTCCAAGAATAACAACAGCTTTGCTCACTGCAACCTCTTTGTCTCTAGTGAACCAGTCGCCGTCCCGTTGCAGTGGATTAAACCGCTCCGAGTCCCCCATCCGAGAGCGCAATGACTATGGAGGCAGCAGTACCCAACTCCACAGTGGTAGCAACAACATCTACATGCCAGATTACTCTGTTCACATCCTCTGTGACGTGCAGTTTGTCAAGGTATCTGGTGGGTTGGTTGATCACTGCCAAGTGCAGGCTTCTTGCGATGCTTTTGTGTTGTGCAGCATTAATGGTCCCCTTCCAATGCCACTCCAACATACGGGACTGTCCCAGATGGGCAAATTGCTATGAACTTTAACTTCCACAGTGTGCTGCACATGCCTAGCATGAATCCTGTTTAATGAAGTTGTAATCTTGAGATAAGAAAACATTCCCTTTATAGCCTGCCATTTTTCTTATGAGGAATCCAAAGTGACTTATATAGCTTCATTTTATCCTCACAACAACCACCCTGTGAAGTAAGCCGGGCTGAGAGGCTGTGACTGGCCCAAAGTCACCCAGTGAGCATCATAGCCACGTGGGGACTAGACCCCGGATCTCGCAGGCCCATAGCCCAGCACCCTTAACCACCAGATCACACTGGCTCTCTTGGTAGAAGGACAAAAGTGAAGAGACAGGGCAAGGCTTGTTGAAGAAGCAGCGATTGATGGAGCAGAGCTAGGCAGCAGAACATACTGTGGAGCCTTCCACTCCTTGGGGTTCTACAGAACATTTGGGGCTAAATTAACGCATCTCTATAATCTTCTGGTTGCTGGGAGCACAGGTGTCTTCCCTCCAGTTTGCGCAAACTGGAGCTCCTAAGAAAGTGTAATCCTTTCCAGAACTAGTTAATATCAGTGTTGTGTGATGTGGCCTTGCTGCTGTGGTGACATAAATAGACTGCTTTGCACCCCTGTTATGCTGCCAGCCTTTTAGTGTGGGACGTGGGCATCCTCCGGGGATGTTGAGCTCCCACCTGCCATTAGCACCAGACAGCATGGATAGTGGTCAGGGATGGCGGCTGTTGTATTTCAACATCTGGAGAGCCAATGGTTTTGCATCTCTGCTCTGCTGGTTGGTGTCAGAGCATCTGTTTGGCAGTGCACAGGTTACAACAATAGCTGATACAAGAAGTAGTTCTCTGCTCCTGTTATAACACCCTTGGTCCCTTCTTAAAAACAAAACAAAACACACACTTGACTTCCTTTGTCTATTTCTGCTGTCCAGTGAGAGTACACACTTCCTTCTTTGCTTTCCTGTCTTTTTAAATAAAGGGCAAAACCGGGCTCCCCCAGATTGCAATAGATGAGGCAGTGTGATTTTCAGGCTCACCTATCTGACTTGCAGCAAGACCTGGTTCAAGTTACTGTTCAGCCATGAATTCCCAGTGTGACCTTGGGTTAATTACAATATCCTGGCTTAAGTCACCTACATTAACTGGATGAGCAGAGAGATGTGATGAATTAATGAAACCTGGAGTGCGAGCATGGCATTGTAATACTGCAGAGTCTTGCAGTGGCCCAGGAAGCGTTTTGCAGAGAAAAGGTTTCTAAGCAAAGATGTAATCATAGGGAGGCTGTTCAGACACGGAGAATGGGGTTCAATCAGGCAATGTATAGCAGCTGAGGTTGCACAGAAAGGAGCAAAAAAGACGAAGGGGTGGGAAAATGAATCAAAGTTACCTATCGGGGACAATAGTGGTAGAAAGCCTTGAACTCACAGTTGAAACTGAAGGCAACAGGGAAGCAGCACAGAATCTTCATAAGCTTGGAGGCACCATTCAGTTGGTGAAAAAAAGTTAATTCCTCAATGTATTTACTTTTTGCAGCCATGTTCTAGGTATGTTGTGAAATGGCAGTAATTGGAGGAATCATAGTAATTAAGATGTAAAACCTTTCCCCTTCCTGATGCTCTCCTAGCATTCCTCAGCCAATAAGACCTACTGAGAGTTGCAGTCCTAAATAATGGAAAAGCAACAGAGGCTAATAGGAAGATTTGTGAAGGAAGGTTGTGGCATGAGATGTAGAAAGGGGGAAGTGGGGTTTTAAAGAAACTGAAAAAGACAAGCTGGCAGGATTTGATAACAATCTGAATGGCAAATCCTGTGCCTGATGTCTAGATCACTCGACAGCAGTACCAAAATGCATTGGCTGCCAGCCGCATGGATAGCTCGCCCCAGACCCCCGACATGGAGGTTTTCAGTGATGGCAGTTCCACCAGGCCTCCCACAGCCAGGGGCACCCCACAGACGCCCAAAGACGATCCGGTCATCCTCCTGCATGAAAGAAGCAACATTGTGGGTAGGTACAGTTTGATGCAGTGACCAGGGCAGTGACGATCTCCAGTGACAGACACCACTGTGATGTGTGTTCCAGGCTGACTTTGACATTTTGTTAATGTACGTTTATAAATCGCATTTGTGCACATTTTAGCGCAAAAGTTAAAACTAGGCCAAACTAGGATTATCAGAAGATAGTTTAAATGATAATTGAGATTATATTTTTGTGCTCTGCCATAGGCTGCACTTCCACCCTGATCTTCCTTCACACTGATACGTTGCTCACTTGTTTGAAAAGTGGTGTGTATTTACTTGTTCTGGGACTCTGTCTGTATCCTGCAGTTAGCCAATCAGACTGGCGACTGAAGAGCCCCACAGACTCCGTCTTCCTGCACATGGAGGGAATCCCCCACATCCAGGAGGAGCTAGCAAGCAATACAGAACCAAATGTGCAGCAAAGTGAGTATTGAGTATTCGGCCAGGGCGACTTATTTTATAATGTTAATGTGTGTTATATTTTTAGTGTTTTATATTTTAACTGTTGTTTTGTAAGCTGCCCCAAGGCTTCAGCGAATGGGGCGGCATAGAAATTTTTAAATAAAATAAAAATAAGTATTGTAGGAGCACAGGGCAGGCCAGGAATGCAAAGGCAGCCCCTACATTGTCCAGGCAGTTCCTATCCTTATCTTGGCTACTGTTGTGTTACAGGAAAGGAAGACTGTATTTTCAGGCTGGACCCAGAGACCACAAACAAAGAAATGGAGTTCAACATCTCCCCAAGCGGCCCTGAGGAGCCCCTGGGCAAGAAGTTACTCCGTACCCTTAGTGAGTAGATTTCCTGGAGTGAGTGAATGGGAGGGGGCATTTGGCACTGTTGTATTTCCGAAGGGCACTGCTACAAAGTGGTGGCCACTTGGGCTAGCCCTGCTTACCTTTGAGTGCTCAAGGAACCTTTGATTCACCAGGCATTGTACTATATAAGCTCCCCTAAGCCTGTGGAATTATACTGTCCAGCAGGCAGCTTGGAGAGTGTTGCCAAAGGAAACTGCCTTATACCAAATCAGACCATTGGTCTATCCCAGCTTTGTCAGCACTGACTGGCAGCAGCACTCCAGGGTCCCAGAATCATGGACACTTCCTGCTTGCAAGGCAGGTGTTCTACCACAGGGTTACAGACTGTCCCCATAGACACTGCCCTGAAGTGGCATATCCGTCCCCAACAGCAGCTACCAGCTCTGACCCTGCAGTGCTTGCTGTTGTAGGTGGGAGGAGGAGAAACCCATCGGCAGACAGTGAAAAGAGTTCAGAAGACAATTCCAATTTCACACCTCTCATCACATGACTGGCAACATGGTATTGCCCTCCCACAGGTTAGTATGGTGTTTTGTCCTGTTCCTGGCAGTACAGGGATCTTCTGAGATGTACATGCAGAGAGAGTAAATTTTTGCCTTTTTGTGGAATATTCTGTTTCCTTAGTGGCCTTTCACTCCTTCGCTATGCAATCCTAGAACAAAGGCACTTTAATATTGAGTCTTTGTTTCTAAATGTATAACAGTCAGCTTCCCCAGGTCTCATTTCATGAACGGTGTAGTTTTAAAACAACTAGCAGTTGTACACAACCTTCCTGTGCAGAACCAGTACTGGACTGTACATCCTGCTTCATGCAGCTTTTAAAGGAACGTCTCAGGCGGTTTTCTCTCTACGAGTGCATGCTAAAGGAAACTAGGCCCTGAATTATCAAACTGAGAGTAGGGCATTAAGAATAGAACAATGTAAAGGCCTCTAAGAAAACATTGCTGTACATTTCAACCTTCCAGAGGCAAGCAGTCCTGACCAGGTTTTCAGAAAGCTTGGGAGAAGCTTTGTGGTGTTGTTCAGACCTCTGGTGGGTGGCAGGCAGGGTGGGGGTTGAGTTTCAGTGGTAGGGAAGGGATAAAGAATGCCTTTCCCTGCTACTCTGCATAATCCTAGAGAGCTACCAGCTCCAAACCTGGATGTTTTAAAGCTAGATAGTGGCAGGGGGCATGGACACATAGTCCTGGAAATGAAAAAAGCTTTCCATTCCCATTCCAAGATGTTTACTATAAAGGTTTTAGGAGGTCATTTCCTTGTTTTCCTCTTTCATGTTTTTTTATTTTCAAGTGACAAAGATCCCATGTCTCCAGTTAGTCTTAACTGTAGGGTTAATAGGCCGTCATTTGATTGATGGGCTTCTCTCCCCCTTGGCTCAAGTATAATCAATGTTTTTATAAGCTCATGGCTTTATGTCATACAGTCTGTGTGTGTGTGTGTGTGTTTGAATGTAATTCCCCCCCACAAATGTGTTTATATTTAGAGTGTCTCTCAAGTAAGCAGGAGCCATTAACTTATTTTCTGGGGGACTGCATCTCTCTCCCAAAATCATAGGCACTCGATCACTTGATTTCACTGTGATGGGCTTAGGGCACACCTTTGTGCCTGCGGAGAAAGATCCTACACCTTTTCACATTCTGTGTGGGAGGGCAACTGGCTTTGTCCTCTAAGCACAGGGGCTGCGTGGAGCAGTATACACAATGGGATCTGTGCAAGGTTATGGTACTCAGTGGCTGTTTTTCTTTCTCAGGTCTGCAGCATGATAGTCAACCGTGACAAGATTCATGTGTGCGTGGTGGCACCTGCTTCTCTCTCACATTAACTATCCCCTACCTCCAGGGCACACAAGTCAGCCCTTTGAGCTTAAGAAGTAGTGCCAGCACACAGAGAGTACTGAGCACGAAGGCTCGGCAAATGGCGGAAATCAGAAGAGCAAAAGTGTGGTGTGTGTGTGGGGGGGTGTCCCTGTGGGTAGCTTAGCAGGGCAATGACCTCACCATCTCATTACTTCCATTGGGGTAAAACCCAAAAGGAAGGGACACAGGGCTTCTTCCTACTGGAAGCACTTCACCTTCCTTTTGCATGGTCCAGCTCAACTGGACCCCAGTGCATGTTTCTGCAGCAACAGTATCACCCCATAAACTCTCCGTAGTCATGTGCATCTGAACATTATCCAGATCTGCCCGATGGGCCAGTATCTGTGCCTGGCGCCGACTGGCTTTGGGCTGGCAGTCTGAAGCACAGATCAATGCACTGATGCACTGGTCACTTTGTCACCTTTGAGATCAGACCACCATGAATGTGGCCCTAACAGAACCCTGATCTCCAAGTCAGTTTAGAACAAAGAGGCAATTTTGACATCAGGTGCCTGCAAGGAAGAAATAAAATGTACTTGTTTTACATTAAATTAGTTCCTTTCATGTGTAACTTTGAGCATGTATTGGAGGGAGGGGAGGGACATATATGCATGAAAACCTTTGATGGGGATCACCTGGCAGGCAAGCTGAAAATTAAGTGTATCTATTGAACATTTGGCAAAAGTTCTTTTTCGATCACTTTTTCAGCAGGTTTGTGGATGAAAAAGGATACAGAACAGTACCCTGGAATAATGCAATTATTTCTTATCCTGTAGTTCACAATCTATGGCTAGAACTACATAACCCTCATTGCAACTTCAGTAGTTTTCACTTAAAAACATTTGCTGCTTGCATGCCAAATTTCAGGCAGGAGCTTGGGAAATGGGTCTACACTATCCATGCCAGTACAGTATTGTTCCAAGCTCAACAGTACATTTCTATATGTGTCCACTTGGAAGTCTCAAGTTCAAGGCTAGCTAAGAGAAAGTACAAGATTGATATTCTGATTACACTCTTTCCCAACCTGGTGCTGTCCAGTTATTTTGGACTACAGCACCTGATCACTGGCTAGACTGGCTGGGCTTGATGGGATTTGAAGGCCAAAGCATCTAGAGGGCACCAGGTAGGGGATGGCTGCTCTCATGTCTTTCCTTTGCTAGTCCAGTACATCATAGTTTTTGGACTCTGCTTTGCTTCCTCTTATGGTTCTGATCTTAAGTACATTAAGGATAAGGAATTTATATCAGTATCTGATTGAAATTATGCAAAGTCTGCACCTTTTGGTCAACAAATGAAAACAGATCTGTTGCTTTATAAGCATGCAAAAGGGCACTTGACTAAGGTGGTGCAAAATACTCTTTCCATCATTTCAAATTAGATTCTGGTGGGAGGTTTTAAGAAAATTGTGGGTATCACATCTGTATGAGCAGGTGTAAAGCAACCTTTCAAGAGGAGATGCTCCTCTCTCACACTCTACCTCAACTATAACGTTAATTGGAGCTATTGCTTGATTTTAGATTGGACCAGTTGTCAGACAGTTACACCTGGCCCAGGAGCAAGGGAAACATTCTGTTCATATTCTGTTCTGCTTAAACATGATATTTGCGGACATAAAAAGGTGTACACACAAGTCAGGCTAGTTGCTTACCTACCTGATCGCTAACAACTTATTTCACAAAGAGTTCTCCTAAAGCAAAATGCAGGAGTGGCCTAAGCTTCCAAGCCTCAGTACCCTGGACTGGACAGAATACCAAAAGAGGAAGAGAATGCCACATTTAACAAGCTCTTAAGCACCAAAATATCCACTGTTCTAGAGAAAGATCTTCTGGGGTGGAACCTTTGCTTTGAAAGCATCATATTCACCACTACATTACTATTCCTAACCCAGCCTTACATGAAAACCAGTGTGGTGGTGGTGTTAAGAGCCTGGGGTTGGGACTCAGGTGACCTGAATTCAAGTCCCTGCTTGGCCATGGAGCAAGTGGGTGACTTTGGGCCAGTAACAGACTCTCAGCCCAACCTAAAGTACAGGGTTGTTGTGGGGATAAGACTGAAAGCAGCAGCAGGAGAATGCTGTAAGCGGCTTTTGAGGAATACAGAATCTACCCTTTAGGGTTGCCAGTGGAATTTAAAATCTTAACCCGACACTTGAATAGACTGAACTTCAGTTAAAGAATGGTTATTTTAGTGCCTAAAATGGGCAGCCACAGAAAGGGACACTTCTTGGTTTTGAAGGCTATGATGATCACATATACTTTTTCTCAAAGTGAGCAATCTTTTACTTCTGCCTGTTCTATCCCATGTTTGCTAACACACAGGTGGCATGAAGAAATGTTTTATTTTGTTGTAATGGCAAGAAAAGTACAGTTCATTAAGATTACAATCTTAGCTTGTGTAAGACTGGAAACCAAAAGTAGCAGCACCAGCCTTGTTCCCTGAAATAGCCCATGCAGGCTGCAGCCAATGCAACGAGACTAACCACTGGGTATTCATCCTACAGTACACAACCCCTTTCCCGCAGCAGGCATGGGTCAAGGAGGGTTGGTTACATAAAGTGCAAATGGACACACAAGTTGGCCAGAAGTGGCCCATGTGCTTAGGTTCGAGTTATTCACTACTAATACAAGGTGTATGAAACCGTCAGCTTTCACAAAGAGAAACAGTCACTGTCAGTCCCCACAATCTGTATGCACACAAATCAAGGGCCCTCAAGAGACAAGAGAGATGCTTTCATAACAGAATTGCTCTTTTCAATCCACACGGAGTCATTGAGATGAAGGAGGTGAACTTCGCTAATGAAACTACATATTGCAGGATGGAGGTTCTCTTGTGAGCATTGCTAAAAGCAAGCCAAGACGTTACATAAAGGCCTGTGTGACTTTCTCTCAATGGTTTGGGCTAAGACTGCAAAGTTAAGATGGCAGGGGAAGAGTGCAGGGAACTACTTTCCCCCTAGTCACTTTTCCACTCAAAATTTCCAGCCAGTTTTACACCTGCAGAGAAAGATACTACCCCCTCTTTCCCATATTGTGGGGTGGGAGATTTCAAGTAGAAGAGTGGCAGGAGGGAAAAGGGTTAAGCACTCCCCTCCATTCCTCTGGCTGCTTCTCTGCTTAAATTCCCACCACCCCTGGTTTCTTTTTGTTTAAAAACATCCCAAACTACTGGAGAAAGTTGGATGCCCCTGAATAAACTGTCATTTCTCGTTGACTATATTTTGGTGACAGCCTCATGGATGGAGGCAGCAACGTAGTCCAGGTTCTTGGTGGTCAAGCCACACATGTTGATCCGACCGCTGGCCATCAGGTAGATGTGTTTCTCTTTGATCAGGTATTGGACTTGCTTAGCTGGAGAAGAAGAAAAAGCGTCAGAACTCTTACCAGAAATCCGGAGCATCCTCTGCTAAGTTGTGCATATTATGGCCTACATCACAGTAGGAAAACCCTTTGATAAACTGCCAGTCACAGACAGCAACATGGAGAGATCTTAAGTGAGGATACAGAGAATTAAGAAGTGCTCAGTGAACTCCTTTCATACTTGTAATGGAGAGCCACCTAAGGCTCACTGGAATTATGGGAAATGGAGAACTAACTAGCTGTGTTTATCACAAGATCTTTGCTTAGTCCCCTGAAGCACCCTCCCTCTTCTCTATCCATACTCTATTACAAGGGTGGGCATCTTCAGGTATTTCAGATGTTTGGGCCTACAATTTCTATTAGCTCTAATTAGCATTGGCATTGGTGAAGGATCATGGGAGTTGTAGGCCAAAACATCTAGAGGTCCACATTACTATTTTCTTCCCATCTGTGCCTGCTTCCCATCTGTACTCACGGTTCAGGCCAGTAAAGCTAAACATGCCAATCTGCTCTGTGATGTGGTTCCAAGTCCCGGGTGTGCGCAGGGCCTCAAGCCGAGACCTCAGCTCTGCCCGCATCAGCAAGACCCGATCAGCCATTGTCTTCACATTCTCTTTCCTGTCACAGAAAAAGACTCGAGCTCGGTCCAGCACCAACTTTACACACAGAGATGGGACTCAGTTGGTCATTCCCTCTCCCTGCTTAACAAGGACTTCCACCCACTTGTCTTGCTGGTCCTTACCATTCTTGAAAAAGCTCTGGAGTAGTAAGCGTAGTAGCCACAATACGTGCCCCCTGTGATGGGGGATTAGACCAAGTCGTGCGGACAATCTTCTCCATCTGGGACAGGACACGCTGTACGTTGTCTGCATCCTGTGCTACCAGAGTCAGGTTTCCCACTCGCTCATCTGAGGAAAGGAAATGCACCCTAAGCCTCGGTCAGTGAACAACAGCATCCCCCCTATATTGCAGCGGTGCAGAACTTCAGGTACAGGAGCTCAACATCAGCCCTTCCCCCTTTTCTCCAGCAGCTCCTTGTTTGGTGCTTGCCTGGCTTCTGTGCAGTTCCCCCCACCCCCGACCATATACAAGGCTGAAAGGTCTCTTCCAGGGCTCAAGCATAATCCTATGCATGTTTAGGTAAAGAAAAGTCCTACAACTTCGAGTACAGTTGGTCACTTGTACAAAAAAAGAAATCATTTATGTCTAGGATTGCATCTTTAATTACTGACAGCTCTTTAAACTGTAATATGCTGGTAATTCTGGCCTTTCCCCTTTTTTCGTTGACCCTGCCCACCTCTGGGATGACCCTTCCAAAGTTCCTCTGATATGAAATTTAACCCTCAGGCTGAAAGAGGCTCTGTACCCCTTCATTTTATTTATAAATACTTTCATTATTTTTATTAAAAATTTCAGCAACCCATAATGAGGCAAAGAATACAAAAATGTAAGTACATACAATGGCATGTATTTGTGTGTACAGCTTTCTAAAGAAAGCCTTCTTAAAAAACAAAAATTATCTGGCAAATCTGAACATTTGTTTTGGATAAGAAAATAGGTGGCCATGATATCTGCATACATTTCCTTGTTCCCTGCCCCTCAATAGTCAAATATGTAATATAAGTTTAAATTAAAATCTTTGTCCCAAGCAGGCTTAAATGACAAGTTAGATCTGTCTGGTTTTTTTTACAAATGAATTTCTTATACTCATTCCAGCTATGAGATCACTGAATGTCCCATATATCAATTAAATCTTTCCTCCCTCTTCTTGAGTTATATGACTAGCCAGTTTTTCTTTCAAATAATCATTCTGCCCTTTTAATATAATACAATCATTATATCAACTGATTTTAATTTTACTATATAAACTTAATTAGTAGTGTTCTTTCTTGAACAGCTTTCAAGGTGATTATTATTTTCTTCTGGCTTCAATATTTTCAAGAACTCAGAGCATGGTAATTTAAAGGAAGAGTATGGAAACAAAATCATGATCTGGAATTTTCATTTGACAACCTACTCTTGTTTAACCTACACTTCAAGACTAGTTTTGAAGACAACCTACTATAGTTTACTATTGTTGTAGAGACATTGTTACAACAATAGTTTGCTACTGGTATACAGAAATACTGCAAGACAACCTGCTATATACTACTGCTGCACAAAGGCACCCGGGATTTACTTTGCGTACGGTGGTTCCTATTTCCCACTGTATCCTTGAGTTGCATTTTTTTTATCCTCAGATGGAGGCCAGTGTCCTCTCTTACTACACCCCTGTAATGTTCATGATTTCACATGTAGTTCAAGACCAGCTATTTATTGTTATACAGAATAAACCTGTATTTACTTTGTTCAGATTAAACGTGTACTCTCATATGCTAGGCACCACATACCATATTGCTGTGTTTGTTGTGTTACACACAAGGTAGCTTTTCAGTGCACTTACATGCAGATTTACAGGGGTTTTGATTTTGGAAGAATACATTTGTTTTAGGGAGTTACATTATATTTGATTTGCTAAGTGATCCCAAGTAAAAATGTATCCATCCAAGTCTGCCACAAAAACATTTTCTTATCAACTTCAAAGTCTGGATTTCCCTATACAGTCAATTTAGCATGAAAACAATAATGTAATTCGTGAGACATTATATGTCATGTCTCTAACAACCATAACTGTGGAAAGACCCCTATTTATTTTAAGCAGCCAAGACAATAACACTGCAGAAAGCTGAAGGCAGAAGAAGGGAAAGACCAAAGAGGTGGATTGATTCCATAAAGGAAGCCACAGCCTTGACTTTACAACAGCAGGGATGTTAAGGACAAGGCATTTCAGAGGGCGTTCATTCATGGGTCACCATAACCAAGAGATGACTTGATGGCATGTGACAACAAGAACCTAATGCCATCCATTTGGAGAGAGGAACCAGGCAGGAGGACTCCCAAATTAATCAACATGAAAAATCTAAGTGGAAAAGACAATTCAGTAGAGAGCAACAGATAGGCTGGATGATATAAACCAAGGCTCAGAAAAGCAAACACATTTATAAATATGCCAACCCTCAGATCTCAAAAATATTGCCCAACTTAGTTTAAAACATTACAATTATACAACACAAAAATATAAGCAGAGTAAAAACAAGTCCTCCAGTTAGTAGGGAAATTAAAGGAACACTCACTGTACAGGCCAAAGTTTTTTGAGAAGGACTGGGCACAGAAGAGTTCAAAGCCCTCTGAAACAAAGTAGCGGACAGCCCAGGCATCTCTGTCCAGGCAACCTGAGGCAAAACCTTGGTAGGCAGAATCAAAGAATGGGAACAGGAACCGGCGCTACAGAGAAGGAACAGAAGCAGTTTGGGTTTTCAGTGCACATTTCCCTGTGGCCCTAACTGCCCTCCCAAGGATTGCATCCTCATATGCTGGTCCCACACTCTGGGCACCTTGGCATCAAGCGGCCCAGTGTGCTCCTGCCTAGAAGAAACACATTGAACTCTGCCGAAGAGACAGCTGCCTCATTCATTTGGATCACAACATCTGGCTTTTCAGCCCAGAAACTAGGAGTGCTTTGCTGGAGAATTTTTACTGCTACAGCATGAAGTACACACAAGCCTGTTGCCCTTAACAACCTTAAGTGACCCAATACCTTCATAACGGCAGCAATTTGTTTCCACTGCTCCTGTGTGGGGTCTGTGCCAGTTGGATTATGAGCACAAGCATGGAGGATGAAAATGGAGAACTCTGGAGCTTTCTGGATCAGGGTGGGGAGGGGGAGGGAGGGAGAGAAGGAAGGAAGGAATTAGTCTCTTTCTTAAATAAATAAATGCACATGTCAGATGACTATTATCTTCCAGTGCTATGTTATACCTAAAATCAGTAAGGTAACCCTCAAACAGAAGAAAAATGTATATTAGAACAAATTCTCTTTCAATGCCCCTAGTCAAGCCCATGTCTCACCACATTTGTTTCTGCTTGCAGCACCATGTTGGAGGCTGCTCTAGAGGGTCCCTTACAGATGGTCTTTCTAGCATGGCTGCTCTGGAGGCATGCATGCCTGTGAACGGTCTGGAAGGTTCCAGAAGAACCAGTACAGGTTTAGAAGTTCCCACATGTGCATACAGGTTCTGCCCTCAGATGTTGAATCCCAATGAACAGAAGAGATTCCTGAGTGAAGCTGTTGTGAATGCAAGAGATGCAAGTTCTCCTAGGAAATAGTTGGCTAACCAGATATTAGTCCAATCTAACACCAACAGAACCAGTAGAAGCACTACCCTAGGTTATTCCTGCCTTCTGTGAAGTGTATCTCCTATAGTTCATGTATGCAGCAGTGTAAGCTGCCTCTATTCAGCTCTAGAAAGAGACCTGTAAGGTAACCTGTCCCACCTCCAAGTCCTCCAGAAATCCCTGGAGGTCTAAACCTCTGTTTGCAGCATCCCAGTAGCGGTAAGTCCGGATATCCTTGAAGCCAGCATCCGTGAAGACAGAGTTATGGTTTTCTGCAAAAAGAAAAGGGAAGTGTTTGTCATTTATCCAAGGTTCAAGCCCTTCCAAGCTAGGCTATCTGATGAGGAAGGGAATTCGAAATCCCTTGGAATCCCAGATTTCCCTTTCTCTGCCCCATATGACACCAAAGGAAACCATCCAGGCCTCAGAACTCACCCCAGGAAGGGGAAGAAATGTAGACAGGGGTTGCTGTGTTATTGGTTCCATTGTACCAGCGTCTCAAGAACTCTGCTCCAATACGCAGGGCTCCTGTGCCCCCCAGGGACTGGACACCTCCCACCTGGTACAAAAGGAAAGGAATCATTAGAAAGTAGATACTATTTCTGTAAGATAACTGAGCATCCAGTCTGAGCAGGGATCCACTTCCCTGTAGATCGCTTTGTGGTTGCACTGGGATTCTCAGCTCTCCCTAGATTACTCACAAGCAAAAGCTGGGAATGGAGTTAAGTCCACAATTACACAGTCAACACTGTACATCATCATGTCATTCTCTTCCAAGTTAGCAATAGATCTGTTGGTCTGAATCCTGTTTTTCATTCTGTGATTGTTGTGCTTCAATTAATCTGTTTTATTACAGTGTTAGTCAAGTTGCATTTATGATTGTAAACCACCTTGAGTGCTATTTTTCTTTTTTCTTTTTAAAGCATAAAACACATTTTTGAAAACTCATTCAGCCAATGTCATTCCCAACGCGTAGTTCATCCCATGCCCATCCATTTCCAATATCTTCTTCACCCATGTGAGAACCACTTGTTCCCACAGTGCAGTCTATTCTCCTTTTGCTCAGCAAAGTGCTTGGCCACTGGCAATCACTGCACAGCCCCAGCAATTCCCATTGCACACCAAAAGAATGGGAAACCAAACAGAACCATAGCTTCTCTGTAGCTCACAAGGAAGCCAGCACCCACTTCCCACCCCAAATTAGTCATAGGATTTTCCTCTTCAGGCTCACCCTGTTCTCCTTGATGGCTGGACTATCCTCTCCTAGGGCAATTTGTGAGGAATTGGCACGGAATTCTGGCAGGCCCAGGATGGGAAGGTACTCATGATTCAAGCTGGTGTCCTTGGTGATCATCATCTCTACCTTCCGGACCACTGGCAAGACCCATGGCTGACCCTCATCTGTGCGGTAGGCTGCAGCATGGAAGGGGAAAGAGTTACTTTAAGCACAGATGCAGCCATGTACATTACATCTCCATTTGGAAAGAAGGTTCTTATTGTAAAGAGTTCTCTCTCTACCTTACTCTCTCCATTCCAGGTTGCCATATTTTACAGTAAACCTTTGTTTTACTGTAAACCTGTGCTCTTGCATAGGAGGTCTCTGTTGCAGCACCATTCCCGCAATCCTTTGCTCAAACATTAAAATCCAAGCACACTAATTCTACACAAACCTACCCTATAGGTTTGCAGGTTTGGCATATCAAGAACTGAAGGAGAATTCCAGGCCAATAATGTGGAGAATACAGGACTGTCCTGAGCTGTTAAAAAGACAAGTCTGGAGCATGTACTTTGGTGCATGGATGAAGCCACAGGCAGAATGGAGAAATGTCTCACAAGACCCTGGCAGTTGAAGAATGGAAAAGTTTGTTTCTACATCATGAGCCATTTTGAGCTATTCACTTACAAAAGGTGCAGTGACCTGGGCAGCAGCCAATTCACTTAGGAGCAAAGAGTAATGAAACTGCAACAGGAGGGGCAGCTAATCAAACTATGTTCAGCCTGGATCTGCTTCTTAGAGCCTGGGCAGAGTTCCCTTTCTACTTTCTGCCAGGCCAGGCGATAAGGCGCTCAAGGTCATGTATGTTTGGATTGCTCCAAACAGAACCTGGACACCAACTCAGATCTCCCAACAGCTGTTGGAACGGGGACCAAACTATAAGAACACCAGGTACCAGAAGGTCACACAACATGCCCCAAAAGAAAAGAGACCAAATCCAGAAAAGTACTGGGCAGAAACAGAAGTCAAAGAAGTGAATTCATTAATGATGTCCAAGGACAGTGACAGACAGCAAACCAGGGAGGTGAAGATAAAAGCTGAGGAGATGGGGAAATTAATACAGGATGGATATTGAGATAAGTAGGCCTTTGTGGATCAAAAGCTGCCCCAAATCTCAGGAGAGGTAATAACTCCTGTTTCCACAACCAGTTTAATTCCTTTCCTTGGTTTTTTCCCACACTACTGAACCTTCTATTCATATTTATTTATGTATTCAATTTGTATGCCACCCCACTAGCCATAGGCAATCCGGGTGGCTTACAACATATTAAAATCCAACTACATAAAACAATACAAACACAATATGGCATTTGCTACAAGGACCAATGATAATAACAATAAAATCAGAAAATAAATTAACAGAATTAAAACCACAATAGGAGAATGTTTACTGATCTTCTGGCTTAGGCCACAGCACACAAGACAACTCACATTAGAATATTGCTTTAGCACTTAGGGTTGTGTAAGTTTAGACACCCATCCTTGTAACACAGACAGAGCCCCTTTGCTAGTAGTGCTAATGCTGTCTGGCAAGATCTTTCATGTCCAGTTATCCATCCACACTCACACAGGACTCCACATTTTTGACAAAAACATTAATAACGTCTTCATTATTCTGCCATAATTGGCCGTGCTGATTTTTCAACACAATACGTGCAAAAGACCTGTGGAGATCCAAACTACTGATCTAACTTCCATAATAGGTTGTGAGCCGCCCCGGGGCTTTGTTGCGACGGGGGCAGCATAGAAATGTTTTAAATAAATAAATAAAAATATAAAGAAGGCTGTGAGACAGTACCTGCCATAATACATAAATTAGCCTTCCCAAACTGGTGTTCCCCAGATGTATTGGACTGCAACTCTCATAATTCAGCCACTGGCTGTGCTGTCTCGGAGTGATGGAAGTTTCTATATGCATAAGTGAAAAACATTCTGTTGTATAATTCCCGCCCCGCCAGGCCTGGGTGCAACCAGATACAGCCAGAATTTTTCCAGAAGTTGCATGAAATGGATCAAGTACTTCAGCTCACCAATTCTGCTTAAAAACAAGTCCCAGTTAAGAACATAAGCTGAAGATTTTTTTTTAAAGTCTCTAAACTCCCCGGGATTATGGTAGTATTAAAACATAGCTGAATCAGTTGGTTGTTTGTGAAGTGCCAACGGAAAAAGATAACTTCATCTCATGACCCGATCGTTAGTTGCACATCCAGCAGGATTACCATCCCTGCCTTCTTTCCCTTCTTCCACCTTTTGACAGAACAGCTTTCCGGAGAGCACAAACACGTGCCGAAGTCCGCTGAGAGCGAAGCTGCAGTTTCAGAGAAGGCATCTGCTGAGCTTTGCCTGGCTTACGGGCCTTAAAACCGGTTTGTGGAGCCTGCGCTCCTCCAGATGTTGCTGAGCTACAACTCCCATCCTCCACCACTGGCCACCCTGGCTAGGAGCTGCAGTCCAACAAGAGAAACACCATCCATCCCGCTCGTCAGAACTGAAGCCGGTCACCCTACATCTGTAGGGAGCGGTAACACTCATCCCACCGGGGCCCCGCGGGGACGTCCCGGGCCTCCCAAACCCAGTCTGAGGCCAGGAAATGTGTGCCCGCGCCCAGGCAACAACGGAGCAGCCGCTCCGAATCCTCTCACCTCCCACGCCCAGGTTGACCTTGCGAGGATCCCCGTCGGCGCGGAAATCCGCCGTGAGCTGGAAGACGGCCACTGGCGGGGCCTGCGGGACGGCGGCGAAGATGGATCCTGCTCCGGGAGCCATTGCGGGACGGTGTCAAGGAAGGAAGGACAGCTCGAATCTCAGAGCCGCTGCCCTGGAGGAGACGTTCACCTTCACCGGCCGACGTAGGGACAGGGGAAAGCAGCAACCGATCCCTCCCCTTTTTCTCCAATAGCAGGGAAGGACACGTACTCACCAATCACAGAACCGCTCTCGAGGGAGGCGAGCCCGAACAGCCATTCATAGGACAGCTAAAGTGGATGGCCCCCTCCTTGGCCAATGAAATGCCGCTAAGAATAGACGGGCCTGAAAAATCACCAATCAACGCCACGCAAAGGTAGGCCAGAGGTAAAACATCCAGTCCCTCCGCTCTAAGGGAACGAGTCAAAGAGGCGGTTGTAGGAGAGGCGGGAATGAGTCAGGCAATTGGCGTGGATTTCTAGGCTAATTAGTGCAGGACTAGCGCGGAGCGGGTGGTCTTCCAGATGTTGTTAGATTGCAGCTCCCATAAACTCTGGCCAGTCTAGCCAATGGTGAGGGATAGTGGGGGATGCAGTCCATATTCCCCCTCGTTGGGCTCATGCTGTGCTGGGCGCAGGAGAATTTCAGGTGGTTATGGATGGTAAAGTTAGAAAATTGAAGGTTACACGATTGAATCAAGACCCTGCACTGACCACCTTTTGCCAGACTTTTATGTGCCCAGCGGTTTCATTCTTTGCTGCTGGTTATGTTATGAGTGTATTCTGGGCTGTGCTTCATTATGAATTTGTTTTTTTATGTTTTTAACGTATACCACCCAGGGCACTTTAGTAGTTTAAAAATACAATAATGAAGCAAATAATTAGGCTGCCATCCTGACGTGGGTTGATGGGAACTGCAGTTCAAAACATCTGGAAGGCACCAGGCTGGGGGAGGTTGCTTTATGCTAAGGCTTTCAGGTAGAACCTCAGCCTGTCCCAAAGCATTCTAAAGGACATTGAAAAGGGTTAGGCCTGCTAGGTAGCATGTTTAGTTCCAATGCATTTCTATAATAATCTGGAATCAGATATTTTTTGATAGCTTTAAGTCAGGCTGGTTCAAGAATCACAACACATACTGATGCACTTAAAGTGGACACTCAAAAAAACAGTTCCTATAGTAAACAAAAAACACTATGCAAGTGACTCTTCATGCATTCTGTTCTTAAAACCATTTAGAAGGAACCAACCCATTATACTGACTGCTGTTCTGTCATTGATAAGCAAAGGTGCTTGCTTGTTAGGTCTCCATAAACTTAGTAACATTAACAGTTTACTTATTAGGGTACAATTTCAAGCATTTTTAAACAGAGTAAAAGTCTTACAACAGCCCGTATTCCGCAGCCACCTGGAAGCTGCAGAATCTTTTCCTCTGTCAATGTGCGTATGATCCAATAGGCAAAGGCATCAGGCAAGAGTGTATTTTATTTCCCTGTTTGTTCATTCTGTATGCCGAACATACAGAAAGTTGGATTAAGATCAGAGGAAGGAGTGAAAATTGGCAGAAAGCACGTCAGTAATGTAAGATATACCATCTAACTGACAGGATTGGCAACAATTATTTGAAATCACTTTCAAAAAAAGTAAAGAAAAAATTGCAAAAACAGGACTGCAACTGAACATTAAGAAAACAGAAATCATGACTATAGATGAATTACATATTTTTAATGTCAACAATGAAGAAATGAAAGCGATGACCCTAGTTGAGTCATAAATTCAAATGGAGACTGTAGCCAAGAAGTTCAAAGAAGACAGACTTGGAAGGGTAGCAAAGAAGGAACTAGAAAAGATAATCAAATGTAAGGATGTTTCATTTGAGACCAAGGCCAAGAACAGCCACGCTATTGTATTTTTAATCACTATGGGTGAGAAAGCTGGACAGTGAAGAAAGCTGTCAGAAAGGAAATGGATGCTTTCAGTTTATGATGCTTTGTGAATACATGGAGGAACAAAGAGATGAACAAGTGTGTCCTAGACTAAATCTAGCCAGGACTTTCTCTGAAAGCAAAATATTGAAACTGAGGCTGTTGTACTGCAGGTACATCATGAGAAGGCAAGACTCACTGGAGAAGACAATTATGCTAGGGAAAGTTGAAAGCAGAAGAAGAGGAGGCAGATCAAATAGGAGGCAGATCATTCCATAAAGGAAGCCACAGTCTTGACTTTAAAGGAGCAGAGCAGTGCTGACAAGGGCATGATATTTTGCAGGGCACTCATTCATAAGGTTGCCGTAAGTTGGAGATGACAGCAAGTAACAAGAACATGCAAAGGAGCCACCCTTCATTGTTAAGAAAATGTAATAATCCAAGGCTTAATCTATTTTATATACTTGTGCAGACAGTCATAACACTCTTCTCAGTGCCCTACTTCAACCCCAAGTCCCTATGCCTCTTACATTACCATGCTGAATTTCAACAGGTAACATTCTCCTAGCATAAGAGTGATGGGGGAAGCTTCTCGTGATGATTCTCTGCATCAACACAAAGGAGCCCTGCCATACCCCCTGTGCCATGCAAATACTAGCGACCTAGGCAGACTAGGAAGAAGGCTGGGGATGGTGAATTGGGCAAGAATTTCGATACTGAGCAAGAAGGAAAGTTTGGATCACCATCTGACAAATAAGAAGTTAAGAATTTAGTGAGATTACGGCTAAAATGATTTGAATCCTTCTACTAAGCAAGCTGGCTAGTATTTTCCATGTATCATGTGCCTCACTTCATCACTGCTTTGTCTTTCCTATATAGTCTGTCAACGCTTCCAGTGTCAGTGACTCCCTGCATCTCACTAAACTTTTAGAATGTTTTGAGAGTGTCGACAACCATCTGGATTAGAGTAAACAGGTCCATATTATTTATTTATTATTTATTTTTAAAGCTATGTTATGCTCTTGGCCTTTTAAAGAATCCATCACCAAAGATTCTTCGTTGCAAACACAGTAGTCATGGAATAAGAGGAGTTGCTCTATATGATCTTATGGGTCAGAAAAGGGTAAAAGAACAAAGAGCAGAGAGTAAGAATAAAAGTTCAGTGTCACAAGAGGGACATAAACAGTGGGATCTACCAAGAATTTTATCTTGTTCCTAAATCACCTTGGGTTCAGAACAGATTCAGAAGCTCATTTTTGAATAGTGGGAATGAACATTAAAATGACACGTGTGGTTCAGTGTACATTGGGGTAAAAAAAAATCTCAGCTTCACGTATACACTGATGGGCTCAAAGCTGGCAGTGGCTGACTGCGAAAGAGATCTTAGGATTCTGGTGGATAGCTTGATGACAGTACAGGCCCAGTTCCAGTCTTTGGGCCAAAGGCAAATTCTGTGCTAGGCATCACTGGGAAGAGAAATGAAAAGTTCCAATATCATACTTCATCTGAATCTATGGTGCAACAACACTTGGAATATTCAGTACAATTCTGGTTACCACAACTCAAAACATGCTGTAAAACCAGAAAAGATGCAGCGACAGGCAACCACCATTGTCAAAGGTTGGAACAACTGTAAGGATAAGTCACAGCAACTGGCAATTTTTAGTCCAGGAAAAAGGCAAATAAGCATGTGGATGAGGTGTATAAAGTGATAAATAAATGTGAAAGAAGGAGATCTCATACTACTAGAATCCAAGCTGATCCAATGAAGTTGATTAGTGGGAGGCTCAGGACAAACAAAAGGAAGTCCTTTTTCACATAGCCCATCATTTAACTGCAGAATGCATGATCACATAGGGTAACGATAGCCACCAGCATGGATCGCTTTGAACTAGTGTTAGAAAAATTCATGAAGGAAAAGGCTATCAGTGGTACTAGCCAAGATGACTGTATTTTATCTCCAGAAGTAAAGGCAATATCCCTCTCAAAACCAGTTGGCAGGGGATATGAATGGCAGGGCTTCTGGGCACCTGCTTTGCCATTGTAGGAACAAGGCTTCCTAATAGCCTTATAGGAAAGCTATTAGATTTGATAGTCTTTCTTCTGATCCAGAAGGTTCTTCTAACATTCTTAGTACAACCAAACTCGAATTCCTCCAAATGCAAAAATGAAGGATGGAGTAAATGTGTCTTCTTGAAAACCAGGAAAATAACTCCATTTTAGGATTTTGCTGGCTACGTGTACTGATGGAGATTGCTCATGAGAACCATATCATTAATCTGCTGCTATAATAATATGATTGATACCAATATGTTCATTGGTTGGCGGGTGGAGAACATTGTAATTAGACAGTATTTCTTTGCAAAACAAAGGGGGCTATGTTGGTCTATTTAAAAAAAGAATCCAAATTCCATAGTCTGGCAATCTGTTTATTAAAACTGACTATAAATATTACAAACTGTGAGCAAACATTCAAGTTTTCCCAAGCTCAAGCAGGGCCAGAGAGAGAAAAAAATCAAGCTGATGTTGAAGCCACAAAGTTCATGTTTGTCTCAGTCTTCATTCAGAACGTGGGAAGAAATAGCAGACTTAATTCATTTCTGCTACAGGGATGGGAAATGTGTTCTCCAGATGCTGTTGGATTAGAATCCCAATCATGCCTCATGATTGACTATGCTGGTTGGAGCTGATGGGAATTAAAATGCAGCAACTTACCAAGAGCCACACATTCCCTGCCCCTGCTCTACTAGGTGCTCTACAAATTGCATAGGCATGGCTCTTGACATAGTACAAGTACATCCTTCTGTTTCCTTGAGGGAGGGGCCTTCTTGCTACTTTCCCTTGAGGGGGGTTGCCCCACAACATGTCTATAACACTGTCCCTCAACCTACTAATCTCCCATGGCTTCAAACTGTATTGATTGCAAAACTATGTCCTAGTTAGGGAAATCTGCAATCTTCAAGCACATGGACACATTTAAGTATACCGAAAACAAAAACAAAATAATTCCAGGATGCACAGCCTTAAGGTTCCCTTCATATGCATATCATGTTTCAGGCATCTAGGTTTCATGATCTTGGTACTACGGTGCTGATGGAAGGACAGAATCATGCCCATCGTCTTTCAGAATTCACATGCACACACACCTTTGAGAAGTATAGCATGTTATAGAGTAGACTGTTAAAAGAGAAGGCTGGAGAGGAATGACTGGCAGTGTGAGACAGAAAACACTTTGAAGGTGCAAGCTCTGCATTTCTTCAACTAGGAGGAACTTAGGT